TATATATATATATATATATATATATATATATATATATATATATATATACATACACACACACATATACACACACATGGAAGGAAGACTAGGTAATCTACTTCCATAGGGACACCACCTTGGAAACCCAAGGAAGGGTTGCTATGAGTCAGAACCGACTTGATGGCAGTGAGTTTGGCTTTTTTAGTTTTAAAGATTGTTAAGTGATTACCAGGGATAGGAGGGAGGGGGACAGGGGAAGCTTTTGTTTGTGGGGCATTGAGTTTATGAGAATGGTGGTAGAATATTTTGGAAAAGGATAGCAATAATGGTGGCACAATATAAAAAATGTCATCAATGTCCTTGATCTGTAAATGGGGAAGTTGTTATGTTGACGAATGTCTTGTTGTGTATGGTTTCACCACAATAAGAGTAAAAAAAATAAAAATAAAATAAGAAAAAGCACGTAATGAAGATAAAGGATGAGGTTATAGAAGTTAAATAATTTAGACAAAATGAAGTGAGAAAAAAAATACATTCCTGGTCCTTTGCATTACTAACAGATACACTGTCCTCTAAGAGATGTGCATTTTGAGTCTACTAGATGCTCTGCACCAAGGACTCTCCAATGTATTCAATAACCTAAGTCTGGTAGCATAGTGCCTAAGGCACTTGACTGCTAACCAGAAGGCTGGTGGTTCAAACCCACCAGCCACTCCTCAGAAGGAAGGTTGGGTAATCTACTTCCATAGTGATACCACCTCTGAAACCCAAGGAGGGGATGCCATGAGTTGGGTCTAACTCAACGGCAAATGACAACAACAATGGCTAATGATTGTGAACATTTCTTCATGTGTTTGTTGGCTGCCTGAATATCTTCCTTGGTGAAGTGTCTATTCATGTCTTCTGCCCATTTTTAAATTGGGTTATTTGTCTTTTTGTTGTTGAGGTGTTGGTGTTTTCTGTAAATTTTAGAGATAAGTTCATGGCAGTGATTTATAAAGTGACAAATATTTAATCTCTGAATATTTTCAGAACAACTGAACAAATAGGTTTTTCTTAAAACAAAGTTATATTCTGTTTTGGTGAAAAAACAGAATATAGTGTACATTCATAATTTTTGGGTTGAGCATTTATTTATTTAAAATCAACTTTATTGATTTATTTGCTTAGAATAAAATGTACCTGTTTAAGGTGTATAGTGTCATGAGATTTGACAATGTATGCACCTGTGTACTCTTTACCACAATAAAGATACAGAACATTTCCATCATCCCAAAAGTTCCCTTGTACCTCTTAACTGTCAATCCTTTTCCCACTCCCTGTCTCAGGAAAATACTGATCTACTCTAAAAGTATGTCTGAAAATGTGATTTTGGGGTCTGAGAAGTCAAAACAATTTATATCATGAGACTAAGATGATACATAATGAGACCCTTACTACTCTCAATCTCTCATGAGTAAATACCGGAGTTTTGCAGAAGTTACATGACATATGACACTGCAAGACTGAATGCAGAAGCATGTATGAAAATCTAGATGTCTTCTAAAAGTCTAGACTTTAAAGAGATTTGTGAGAATGTAGAATAATGTAACTTTTCTAACTGAAACTGCTATCTTTGAAAATGTTTTTTAAAAAACAAAAAACATATTCTTTATGTTAAATGTAATGAGCTTATTATTTTTAATACATAAATATTTTAAAAATTTGTTTTAATTTATAATATGGTAAATATCAATAGACATAACCCACAAACAAACACTCTTAGTAGTCCTCACTACTATTTACGTGTAAAAAAATCTAGGAGCAAAATGTTGAACTAGATGATGATCCCTCCTAATTTTAAAAAGGTTGGTGGTTCAAAGCCACCCAGTGGGCACACCAGAAGGTCTGGCAATCTGCTTCAGTAAAGATTACAATGAAGAAAACCCAATGGGGTAGTTCTATTCTATAACACATGGAGTCATCGTAAATTGGAATTGACTTTATGAAAATAGGCTTAGTGGGGTTTGGGGCATGATTCCATATTATTTGAAAGCTGGGCACGGAATTTTCAATCAACTACTCACTTGTAACAATGAAATAGTGGTCTGAATGTGCTAATATATCTCTCTTAGCATAGCTTAAAGCATTGTTAAACATTTTAAACAGGGAAAAACTAAAATCTGACTTTGTCTTGGAAAGGGACCATGACATTTAATTTGTAGTTTGAGAGCATCTAGCTGAATGCATAGCTATATGAATTCTTTCATTAGAACTATTCAAGAAACATCATTACCTTTTGCCAAACACAGAGACTTTTCTTTCAGATGTAGAAGATGTGGGTTTGTTTATACTCAGTTTCCCAAACGTTGATTTCTCTTTGCTGTAACAAAGGAGAAACCTCTTTAAAATAAATGCTAAAAATATTAGTTTAAGAAGCTTTTGGAAATATGTTGGAACAAATACCTTTCATTACCTATAAAAACAATTCAAAATCATAAAAATTTTCTAATATAAGTTCTAAAGCTAAAATATTAAGAAAGAAGCAAAACAAAAATCATATCTACATTATGATTTCAATTATCTATCTACATTTATGGGAGCTCTGGTAGCATAGTGGCTAAGGCACTTGACTGCTAACCAGAGGGCTGGCGGTTCAAACTCACCAGCCACTCCTCGGAAGGAATATAGGGCAATCTACGTCCACAGTGATGCTGCCTCGGAAACCCAAGGAGGGATTGCTATGAGTTGGGTCCGACTCGATGGCACATAACAACAACAACAATATATATTTATGGATAATAACTTTTTGAAGTAAGGAAAAAAAAGATGTTTAACCATAGCATGATAAATCAAAAAACCAAACCCACCGCCATCGAGTTAGATCCGACTCATAGCGACCCCTCCCTGGGTTTCCGAGGTAGTATCACTATGAAGTAGATTACCCAACCTTCGTTCCGAGGAGTGGCTGGTGGGTTTGAACTGCCAGCCTTCTGGTTAGCAGTCAAATGCCTTAGGCACTATGCTACCAGAACACCCTCATAGCATGATAGCTACATTAAAAATATTTTACTTCATGTCATATTTGTATAGGTTCTAAAGTATAATTTAAGGCCTAAGGGTAGCATAGTACTTAATGTTTTAATATTATCTGAAAGCGAAAACATTTAACATTTTAAATGTTCAGCTCATATACCTATCTTTTGTTTGGCTGAAAGCCACAGGAGTAGGTTCAATTCCAGACCTGAAGGGTAGCTAGGGGGCCATAGTCTCAGGGGTTTCAACAGGTTCTCTCAGAGCAGCAAAACTGGTCCTTTTTTTTAAAAATGATTTTGAGTTTTGTTCCACATTGTTCTCCTACTCTATCCAGGATCCCCTACATAGATCCCCAAGTGGTTGACAGTGGTAGCTGGGCACCATCTAATTCTTCTGGTCTTATAATCATATGGGCTGAGGATCACATGGTGTACCAGTCCCTTGGACTAATCGTTTCCATGAGTCTTTGGTTTTCTTCATTCTTCTTTCCTTGAACTCATACAGATACCTCTTTATGAGTGCAATGCTCAAGGCAAACCTTTATTAATTGAACTAAATTTTTGTTCAGTTTAATGATGAACTTAATGATGGCTTCACAGGGTACAGTTTCGGTTCAGGTTTAAAGATTATTTCTTGGCAATAGATTTGGGGATTCCTTCTGTCTCTTTATGGATCCAGTAAGTCTCATTTCCTCATGAATTTGAAGTTCCTTATGAAAAATCTGTTTCATGATTTTCCTCCTTTTATTGGACCCTTGATTAAAACACTCATTAATGGTAGCCAGGCACTATTCATTTCTTCTGGTCCCACTGGGAAAGGAGGCAGTTGTTAAGGAGACAAATAGCCTTCTCTTAATTGTAACAAAATCACTCATAGCAAAAAAAAGTACAATTTATAATAGTACATTCCTCTGGACCTTTTTTCCAACCAACCTTGAGGAAACAGATTGGAGAGGCAGTATTCTGCAGGCTGCACACCACAGCTTATCTGAGTAAGTAATACTTTTGAAAACTCTGCTAGTTGGATACACCTCAATAAATTGAGTTACAGTAAGTAGCTCCAGAATAAAGGAGGAAAACTTTCAGCATGCTCACAAGTGAACACTATGCTAGACAGTTCTAGACAGAGCTACCGACATTTGAGGTGAAAACTAATGAGGTTAGCAATAAGCCAGAAAGAGTGCTTAAGGTAAATTAACAGTTGTTTTATGGATTGCCAGGCAAAACTGACTGAAAGGGACTTGGCTTCGGGAATTGAAGAAACAAATAGGATAAACCACAACACCTGATACTGTTCCCACTTTTACTCTTCCAACTCACTGCCATATAGTCAATTCTGATTCATAGTGACCCCATTGGACAGGGTAGAACTGCCCCATAGGGTCTCCAAGCCTGTAAATCTTTACAGAAGCAGGCTGCCACATCCATCATTCTACTGTTGAGGGCCTGGTGGTTTGAACCACTGACCTTTTGGTTAGTAGCAAAGTACTTTAATCACTGTGCTGTGAAGGCTCCATTTTATCTTTCATTGATCCATAATTAAGCATCACTAGGAACAGATAAGGAGCTCTGGTAGCATAGTGCCTAAGGCACTTGACTGCTAATCAGAAGGCTGGCGGTTCAAACCCACCAGCCACTCCTCGGAAGGAAGGTTGGGCAATCCTACTTCCGTAGTGATACTGCCTCGGCAAACCAAGAAGGGGTCGCTATGCGTCGGGTCCGACTCAATCATATAACAACAACAACAACAGGAACAGATAAAATTCATCAAGACATCACTCCCATATCTTTGTATTAACTATTTTTACAAATTTCTTTGCCCAAGCGAAGGCATGCATGTGAGAACCACAGTTGAAGGTACTTACTTTTGAGGGGTATAGAGGCCTTGTTTATTCAGATCCTGGGATCTTAACTCTTGCACAGAGAGGCGACCGGCACCACCAGTGGAAATTGAACTGCGCTTCATGTTTATGACCTACATTCATAAAACCAGTATTTAAAAATTCTTAAACACAGATGGCACATTAAGCACCAATTATTATCTTTATTATCAAAAATAAAGGAGGATAGGTTTCATTCTTTCTTCAAGTTATTTTTCCCCTGGGCTGTTTTCATTCATTCATGTATTGTGTAGTCCTCCTTTGCAGGGAATAAACCAAACTCACTGCCCTCGAGTTGGACGACTCATAGCAACCCCTCCTTGAGTTTCAGAGGTGGTATCACTACGGAAGTAGATTGCCCAACTTTCCTTCCGAGGAGTGGCTGGTGGGTTTGAACTGCCAGACTTCTGGTTAGCAGTCAAATGTTTAAGGCACTAAGCCAAATAATGTATGTCAACAGTTACTAACTGCCAACCATTTCCAAAGGAATGTGCTAGGCAATGCAGAAAATAGGATGAATTAAGGTATGATTTCTGCCTTCCATAGTAGGCAGAACACTAAATCTTAACCTGGACTACATCACTATGGTGGGCTGTGCCTACTTCAAAAGGCAAGTTAGAGGATACATGACAAGAACTCTCAACTTCTCGCATCCACCTGTTTCTTTTTCTTCTATCTCTAAGGATAGAATTCTATTTTCTGTTCCTAATGACAATCTCTCCTGCTCTATCCTTAAGCCATTATTTCCTAGTTTATATCCTTCAATCACTGCCCCTCTTGCTTCACTCATCGCAAGGAAGTCTGGGCAATGTACTTCCATAGCGACGCTTCGCAAACCCAAGAAGGGGTCGCTATGAGTTGGATTCTACTGGACAGCGGTAAGTTTGAGTTTTGCTTCACTCTGTCCTTCAACAAGGATAAATCACCTTGTCCACAGAATTGCCTCTAGGATGCCTTCATCTTCTCAGGTCACAATAACACCTCATTTCCTCACATGTGCCGAAACAGCTGTCTGCTAGGATACCCACGACTGGCAAATCTTTTGGTCCTGTTTCATCTCTCGATGGCATTAGACATTATAGATATACCCGGCCTTCTTGGGCTTGTCCTGGTTTCCATGAAAGTGGACATCTGTGTTTATCCTTTTACTTCTCTGGGCACTGAATACATGTTTACACTGATTACATTATTTCTTGGTTTTAGCCGCCTATTCCCTTTCCTTCCATATACCCTTCTTCATCCATACGACTTTCCCACTCTCACTTCTATGTCCATTCCCAATCTCCACCTAATGTGCAAAGTCCCAGATGCACTCCTTCCACGGCCACTCTCAAACATCACACACCAAACCAACTGCTCGTCTTGCCCGTTCCTCTCCCCCGCTGCTCTTCTCATCAGTGTTCCCGACACCTTCCCCTCCTCCCTTGTGAATTCACCGCAAGAAGAAATTCACTGGACTCTGAGAAACTAGCGCCCCGCACAGATTCGGCCCTCAGGCCTCAAACAAAGCAGACACTAAAACGTCGCTCAAGCTAAGTTGTAGACGTTATCGTTTTCTCCCCAAACCCCATACAGGTTGGAACAAACCCAAAGATTTTTCATGAGTCCACCAGTCACCTTTCTTCCAGCTTCCTGACACGACCTAGGTGCTTAATTTCTGAACCTTACGATCCCCTTCTACCGACAAGAACAGCCGCCAACGCCACTCCCTCCTCTACGCGCCAACACTCTTCAAATTTTAAAATCTCCGCCCTTGCGAACGTCCTCACGCGTGACGTAAGCACGCGGGCGCAACACTCGTGCGTCTCCCCCTCGTCGCCGTAACTCACAGTGCTGGTAGCACCGTTACCGCATCGCCGGACCCACTGGCGTCGTCTCCAGACCAGCGTAAGCGTCTCCTAACGATTTTAGTCCGACTCCTTTAATTAAGTTCTGAAGACCTGTGGGCAGAACGTTCGAAGTCGCCCAGAAACGCTTTCCGTACAGCAATATGGCCGCGCCCATCGACGCTTAGAAAACGAGATGTTTTTTCCCCTTTGCCTTGAAAAGGGTCATCTTTCATGATCACTACTTAGATGCGTGCTGTTCTTATAATGGGAGTCAGGGAAGGCGACGTGCATTTTTCTGATAGTGGAAGCAGTGATGTAGGAGGTAGTGGCTGCTGAGTGTGCCCGTTCTGAGCATCGCGCTCGTTGGGCCGCCTCCGGAACTCTGGGGTTGGAGTGCCCACCGGGATATTACGGCCCTCTAGTGGGGAGCGCTGGTGGCGTAATGCCTGAGGCATTTCACTGCTAACCAGAAGGTTGGCGGTTCAAACCCACAAGCAACTCCGTGGAAGGAAGACGGGGCAATATACTAAGGTAAAGATTTACCGCCTGGGAAACCCAGTGGGGGTCGCTGTAAGTCCGAATGGACTGGATGGAAGCAAAGAAGAATCCGAGCAATGGGGTGGATGTGAACCAGAGAACTACAGGCGATCTAGAAAGAGGTGTTTTAAACGCAATAGTTTGCCAAAATAGGAATTAGCCACTTCCCTGAACTTGCTTCCTGATACTGCCCAATACCTGGAAAGGGGTAAGGGTGATAAAAAAGCTCAGAGCCAAAGGCTGAATACTGGGGTCAAGTAGCACTTGTGCTGTTAATTAGAGTTTTAATTTTGGATAAGTCAGTTTGTTGTTTGAGTTTCAGTCTTCCCCGCTAAATTTCTAGTTCTCAAGAACCATCAGGAGGCCTAACTGTAAGTAGTAATTGAAGGGGGGGGCAATACCAGGATTTCTATCAACCATCAACAATTGCAGCTAGCATTTATTTGAGCAACTCCTATGTCTCAGGCACTGTACATAGCATTGTACATAGACTCTCTTATTTAATTCTTTACCCTTGGAGATGCAATAAAAAATGATGAAGTTGAGTCTCAGTGAGATCAAATAACTGGTCCGTGGTCACATTAATAGCCATGGAGTTAGAAGGTTCAGTTTAAATGCTGTTAGTACTAACTGTACTATTACCCACTTACATCATATTTTGGCACCCTTTTCAATTCTCCACTACTAGATTGAGAAAACAAGATCCAGAACAGTAAATCATCTCTTGAAAAAAGATAAGGAAGTTCTGAAAAGCCTAGTTTCCCCAAGGAGTACTTCTCAGGATGAATTACGGATCTGGACCCATAACCTTAAAATTTTGTTAAGAGTTTAAAACTAAAACTCACTGCTGTTGAGTCAGATCTGACTCATAGCGACCCTTCCTTGGGTTTCCAAGATGATATCACCATGGAAGTAGATTGTCTGATAGTGCTTTTAAAATGCTGCAAAATTCCATTTTGCTCTTTTTAGACCAATAGTTTGCAATCTTCTTTACCTCTATTATTCCACTGATAGCAGTGGTTTACTAGGGTAATGATGCTAAATGGGCTAAGGGGAATGTTTGGAGAAACAAAGGCTGTTCTGCTAACATGGGAGAAAGATGTGGAAGTCTGCTTCCATAAAGATTTAAAGCCTTGGAAACCCTCTGGGGGCAATTTTGCTCTGTCCTATAAGGTCGCTGTAAGTTGATATCAACTTATGGCAGTTGGCTTCTTTCTGCTAAGATGCTCTCTTAAAATTCTATGACTTTTTCTCTGTTGTTGTTGTTGTTAAGTGCCGTCGAGTCGTTTCCGACTCATAGCGATCCCATGCACAGCAGAACGTGCACAGCCCCAGGGATACAGGTGAGGAGAGACAACTCAGGGACGTCCAAAGTAGCAGGCCGGAAGAGCAGGAGAAAGGGGATTAAAAGCCAGGAAGCCAGAGAGAAGAGCAATCAGCCGAAGGGATTAGGTGAGGAGAGGAAACTCAGACCCGCCCAAAGCATCAGGATTGGAGAGCAGGAGAAAGGGGATAAAAGCCAGGAACTTGGACAGAGGAGCAGTCAGCCCCAGGGACAACTCAGGGATGCCCAAAGCAGTAGGCCAGAAGAGCAGGAGAAAGGGGATTAAAAGCCAGGAAGCCAGACAGAGGAACAGTCAGCTACAGGGACCCAGGTGGGGGTGATACGAGAGGTCTCCAACAGCAGGACAAACTTGTCTGTCGGTTTGTCCTACTGTGGTGACATGTAGACGTGAGGTTTGAGGCTGAGCCTCTGGTGTTTAAAGCCCAATGAAATGCAACAGGTAACAGCCCAGCTTATAGACTGAGACAGACTAGGAAGAAGGAAGAGGCCGTCCACTTCTCAAAGAATTGGCCAGGGAAAACCTTTTTACTTTTTCTCTAGATAGGTCTATATCATGAAAAAGGCTGCATTCACACAGGTAATGTAATGTTCTTTGTTTTAACAGGACACTTTCAGCAAGGATTCAATGACTTACTGACTTCGAGATTGTGTGCTTGGTGACTAGATCCATGGATTAAGGAGGAGGTTGTAGATAGCCCAAGAAGAGAAGAGGATCAAATTGGGTTCACAGAAATAAGATCAGGTTTTAACCATCTTTGGCCGAAGTGGCTGACAATTTTAAATGATCAACTCTCACATTAAAAGAAGCTTATATCATAAAGTTGCAATTTTCCTTAGAACTACAATATGAATGCTAAATATGTAAAGTTTATATACTTGCATATCTAACATTCCTGTATGTATGAAGTATAGTTTTACTGAAATACAGGATATTTAAAGACTTGATCTGGAAATTTGGGTTCTACTTTTTGCCCCTAATTCCTAGGGTGCTTTTTATGAAATAGAATGTCTGTGGTACACCAGCTGTCACCTGGGTGGTTACTGGATCATCTTTCTTTCATTAACAAGATGAACTATCAACTTCACCAGCATCACAAGCCTTGTTGCAATAAAAATGTGCCCACTTCTGCCCACTTTGGTGCTTGTCAAATGGATTCTGTGTCTTCTTTTGGACCCTGTGCTACATTTACTGCTTCTGACTTGACCACTAAGCCTGAGAATGATGATAGACAAAATAGTGATACATTCATACAAAAATATGTTTTTCGATCTGAGTTATTTGATGTCACCAAACCTTATATAACTTCAGCTGGTCATGAAGAATGCCAACGAAGTATTGTAAAGGAAGAGTTAATGGATGGTGTTAAAAAAGAAGTCTCCACCTCTGTCATTGGGAAGGTACAAAGTTTTAAGAAATATTTATTTTTCTGTAGGAAACATAGAGGAAATTTATCATTATAGTATCTCAAATATCATGATTTACTAAGTAGAAAGCAGAATCAATAAAGCATAAGAAAGCTTAAGCATATCCAGAATATTTTAACTTTTTCCAAACATTTCTATAAGACCAAATTTGCATAGTTCAGAATTAAGCAAAGTTTACGGAAAGTGAATGTAAGTTAAACATAAAATCAGGCAGACAAAAAACTCTCTTAGGTTTTTTATTGCATGTTTTTTTACATCTGATTTTACTTGAAAACTTATTTCCTTTTCTGCAAAATTCCAAGGCAGCAAACAGATTTTGGGAGATATTTAGAGGCCTATCCTTTGGGGGTCATAAGCTCAAATAATAAAGTTTAGAGGAAGGATGATAGTTCTGAAAATTTTCTAGTGATGAAAATAGACATCTATTGTAGAAAATGTATGTTTGTAAAAGTTATGTATTTGTGTACACACACTGGTGCAATCTTTTAATGAAGTTTTGAGAATGCCATATATGATCAGATTAATTATGCTTTAATAATTTGTGTTTTTGAGGAATTCAGAGATAATAATACAAAGTCCAGGTCAGATGGATTATATTGTTTTCTTTGGTAGAGATAAGATTAATACTGACTATTCATCTAACAAATGTTTGAGCTCTTTCAATGTGCCATTGTACACAGAGTGATGAAACAAGATAAACATAGTCCCTGCCCTCATGGGTCTTATAACTGAGTGAGGAAGAAAGATACAAGTAAAGAAGAAGCTGTATTGAGAATTAGAATAAGGAAAGTAGTAGAGATAGTATATTATGTTGTTATAGGGACCTGAAGAAGAACTTTTAATATTCATCTGATTTCTTCTTATACATTATCGTTTTGCCTTTTCACACATATTTATTGATCATCTGTTATGTCAGGGACAGATAAGAAAATGAATAGTGTTGTCTGAGAGCTTAATAAAATACTGCGTAGGTAACAATATATCATTACTATTACTAATACAAACAAATAATAAACATTTCTAAAGGCCTTTGCAATTTACATGGTACGTGCATTGTCTTTTAATGCTTTGTTTCTTATGTAGGGTAAGTTTCTCATATTTTAATATTGAGATATAAGATGAATATGTATAATGAATGTTATCATGACAAGAATTATCTTATTCCTGATATGCTAAAGCAAATTATACGGTTAGCTTAACTTAAAGTTCATTTGTGTATTCAGTCAACAAACATTTATTGTTAACCTGCTAGGGGGTTGACACCGTGTAAGCACTGGGGTTTCAGCAATAAAATGTGTTAAGTCTCTGCTCTGTATTGCATTGTCTTACACATTCTTTTCTACAGAGTTGTTAAATACAGAAGGTATCTGATTTGTTTCTAACCCTTAGATCAATCATAAAGAATTACAAGTATGTTGCATTTTTTTTTTTAACAGTTTGTTTTTTTTAATTGTGATTTGAGTGAAAGTTTACAGAGCAAATTCACTTTCCATATGCTGCATTTTCTTTTGATTTTAGGACATATGTAGTTCCTGTCCTCAGAAGTGAATAAAATTAAGAATAATTATACTTAATACATCAACTGATAAGTGACACTGATTACTATTCATTTTGTGTCACTTCCAGTGCTACATTTTATCATATGATGGTACTGGTGTTGTGTGACATCAAGTCAATTCAAACCCATAGTGTCCCTATATGACAGAATAGAACAACCCCATAGAGTTTCTAAGGCTGTAATCTTTATGGGAGCATATTGCCAGGTCTTTTCTCCTGCAGAGTCACTGGTGGATTCAAACTGCTGACTTTTTGGTTAGCAGCTGAGTGCTTTAACCATTGTATCACCAGGGCTCCTTACCTTATTGTGCTAACCAAAAAACCCACTGCCATCGAGTTGATTCTGACTCATAGTGACCCCTGTCGGGTTTCTGAGGTGGTAAATCTTTATGGAAGTTGGTTGCCCAGTCTTCCTTCTGTTAGTGGCTGGTGGGTTTGAACTGCCAACCTTCTGGTTAGCAATCAAATGCCTTAGGCATTATGCCAAGTTCTTATTAATGGCAGATAAGACCTTACCTAGGAGCTCTGCTAGCATAGTGCCTAAGGCACTTGACTGCTCACCAGAAGGCTGGCGGTTCAAACCCACCAGCCACTCCTCGGAAGGAAGGTTGGGCAATGCTACTTCCGTAGTGATACTGCCTCAGAAACCCAAGGAGAGGTCACTATGAGTCCGGGCCGACTCAACGGCAAACAACAACAACAACAACAAGACCTTACCTATTAAGTTGGTATTTATTTATTTACTTACTTTGAGAAATTTATCTCCTTACTCCATACCCTTCCCATTGATTTGACCTCAACACATGATTAAAAAAACCAAACCCACTGCCATCAAGCTGATTGTGACTCATAGTGACCCACATTGGGTTTCTAAGGCGGTAAATCTTTATGGAAGTAGATTGCCCCATTTTCCTTCAACACATGATTGTTACCACTTAGAGATTGGAATACACAATATGAAAAATGCAATTGAAATAAAATGCTAATAATTTCAAAAGATTAATATTGTGATACATGGCAACTAATGTTTTTCCTGTAATTTGTTTACTCTTTAGAAGCGTAAAAGATGTGTGGTTTTCAATCAAGGTGAACTGGATGCTATGGAATACCATACAAAGGTAAGTAGAAAATGTTCATTGATCACATTGTAAGATCTATAGGAATTAGTATGAGTAAAAGAGTCCCTGGGTGGCACATGTGGTTAAGTACTTGACCACCAGCTGACAGGGTAGTGATTCGAACCCACCCTGACAGGCCTGGCAATCGGCTTTGCAAGGGTCACAGCCTTGAAAACCCTATGGAGCAGTTATCTGCATGTATCAGGTCACTGTTAGTCAGGATTGCCTTGACAGCAATTTCACAACAACAAAAAACAAAACCAAACCAAACTCACTGCCATCGAGTCAGTTCTGACTCATAGCGACCTCTCCTTGAGTTTCTGAGGGGGTACCTCTACGGAAGTAGATTGCCCAGTCTTCCTTCCAAGGAGTGCCTGGTGGGTTTGAACTGCCACCCTTCTGGTCAGCAGTCACAATACCTTAAGCACTATGCCAACAGAGCTCCTTGAAAGGTTGGGCTAAATACTATTGGATTTTAAATGCACTGAACATAGTTGAGGACACAAATATTAAACCCTTGAATACCAAAAGTCTACTGTATCTGTTACTTTTGGAAATACATCTGTTGCTTAGAAATGCCATTTGGTAGATTAAACTGCATAGATAATAAAACTCAGGGTATGATATGATACAAGAAGGATAATTTTACTTTAAGATGTCAAAGGAAATTAGAGAATATAATTTCTGTCTATTCAGATTGCTAAATGAGCTAAAATACTTGGGAGACTGTTAATGATGTATATAAATAATGAAACATTTGTGTGCCTCAGAATGGAATCACACTTAAAAAGTCATAAAATAAATTATTTAAAAAAATCTTATTTAGAGCTCTTTTAGCTTCAGTAGCAAATTTGAATAAAGATAATATTTGGCTATTAATATTGATGAACAATTTCACTGACATTAGAATATATTTGCTATAATGCTGTGTTAAGGAGCTCAGGTGGTGCAATGCCTAAGGTATTTGACTGCTAACCAGAAGGTTAGGGGTTTAAACCCCTCACCCACTCTGCGGAAGGAAGATGGGGCAATCTACTTTCGTAAAGATTTACTGCCTCAGAAACCCAATGTGGGTCAGTGAGTCAGAATCGACTGGATAGCAATTAGTTTGGTTTTCTTTTTTATTTTTTTGGAATGCTGTGTTAAAGAATGAACTATCAAAAGGGCTGGTAACAAGGCTATTAATAGCTAAGACAGCTAGGCTATTTTAAAGAACATTATTAAGGAAGCACCTAACTCTGGTGGTACAGTGGTTAAGACATTTGACTGCTAACCAGAAGGTCAGTGGTTTGAACCTACCATTCGTTTCATGGGAGAAAGATGAGGCAGTCTTCTTCTGTAAAGATTTATAACTTTGGTAACCCGATGGGGCAGTTCTATTCTGTCCTTTAGGGTTGCTATGAGTTAAAATCTACTCGATGGCAGTGAGTTTGGTTTTTTATATTAGGATAAAGCCTGGAGTAGAACTTGCCTCATTTGCTTTCTTCACTGAAGTTATCAGTCTCCCATCCTTCTTATCCATTCACTCACTGTTTCATTAATTAATTTTATTTACAAATATTTATTGTATGTGTACAACAGACACTATGTCAACCCTAGGACTTCAATAGAAGTTGAGATAGGTACCGTCCTTCCGTTACAGAGTTTATCATCTTCTTGAGGGATACAGACAAATTAAATTGCAATATAATGTAAAGAAGCATAGGAGAATTATAGTTACAATGGGGGCACATCGGACAGATGTCCAACCCATATTTTAGTTTGGGGGGGTTAAGGAAAGCTTTATGGAGGCAGTGTTAACTGTTTAAACTCAATTTTTAGAGTAGGTATTAATCATGAAGAGAGTAATGGAGAGTGTTCTGGGCTTAGAAAATAATAGCATTTGCTAAAGTTTGGAAACAAAGTGGAATATGACTTGTTAGAAGACCAAAAATGATTCAGGATGCTGGACTGTGGAATATGAAAGGAAGAGTTGTTACAGGTGAAGCGAGGGAAGTAAGAAATAGCAGGTATGTCAGGATTTATAAGTGTATCTTAAGACGTTTAGCCTTAGTTTTAAAGGTAGTGAGAAGATACTAAGAGCAGATGACATAATCAGATTTGCCTTTTGTTTAGTTTATTTAATGTCTTTTTTTTGGATAGATAATACATTTGTATGATAAAATTTAAAATGTACAAAAATATACAGTGATGTCTCCTTTCAGTCCCATCTGTCAGCCACCTGCTTTCTCTTCCCAATATATCCGTCCAGTGTTGTACATTTATAATAGGTAATATATGCATTATTCTCCCTCCTTTTTTTACTTGGATGGTAGTATACTTCACACTTTTGTACTTAGCTTTTTTCCCTTCACTTAAACATATCTTATAATTTGTTTTTTATCTCATTGTCTTTCAAACTTTTATTAGTTTTTAGTTGCTGACATCTATTTTACACATGTCATTTTCCACAGGTATGTATTTATCTGCAGGATACATTTCAAACAGTAAATCTTCGGGTTTCAGGATTTGAGCATTTTCATACTGTTGTGGTTATGTTTGTGTGTCAACTTGGCTGGGCCTGCTTGAGTAGCTGGGCAGCTGGTGGTAGTTATTCCCCATGATGAGACTAGCAATCAACTGCAGTCAACTCCATGGTGGGATCTACCACAAGCAGCTGTGTAGCTGCTTTGGGTTTGTGGTCTGCTTCCCATGTATAAGAAGCAGCTTTGGGAATGGTCGCTAGGTTATGGAACGCTTGGATCCTGTGTGTAGCCATGTCATTGTTCAGCAGCCTGCCATGCTCTGCTGACCTTGAGACTTACAATGGACTTAAATTAATGGCCTGCTGTGTGGCTTGGTAACATCGGGACTGTGCCTTTTTACTTGTCAACCTTGGGCTTCTCAGCCTCAGCAGCCAGCAGCTGTCTGAGTAAAGAAACACCTCTAGCTCCAGTGGGCTGGGAGCAGGAGGCAGAGCTGGACCCCAAGGTTGAGGGACTTTCACCCAGCCCCTAGAGCCTGGCACTTTGAACTTGGAATTAAAGCCACCAAACTGTAAGAGAATAAACTCCTGTTTGTTAAGACCATCCTATTTGTGGTGTATTCTTGTCAGAGCAGCACTAGGTAACCACAACACATACAGATTACCAAATTGTGAATATGGAGATCATAAACCAAAAATTGTATGATTTTCTTGGTTTTACCACATCCTTTCTGTGGTAGTTATGTGTGTCAACTTGGCTGGGCCTGATTGAGTGGCTGGGCAGCTGGGTGTAGTATTCCCCATGATGAGACTGGTAATCAACTCCATGGTGGAATCTACTGTGAGCAGCTGAGTAGCTGCCTTTGGGTATGTGGTCTGCTTCCTGTATTTAAGGAGAAGTCTTGGGAATGGTCTCTAGTCTTTAGCACGCTTGGACCCTGCATGTAGCCATGTCGTTGCTCAGCAGCCTGCTATGCTCTGCCGGCCTTGGGACTTGCAGTGGACTTAAGTTAATGGCCTGCCATGTGGTTTGGTAATATTGGGACTCTGCCTTTTTACTTGTCAACCTTAGGGCTTGTCAGCCTCAGCAACCAACAGCTGTCTGAGTGAAGAAACACCTCTAGCTCCAGAGGGTTGGGAGCAGGAGGCAGAGCTGGACCCCAAGGTTGAGGGGCTTTCACCCATCCTGTAGAGCCTGGCACTTTGAACTTGGACTTAAAGCCTCCAAATTGTAAGAATAAACTGTTTGTTAAGGCCATCCCATTTGTGGTATATTTCTCATCAGAGCGGCACTAGGTAACCAGAATACTTACCATAACACTATGTTATCAATGTTTTTGATCTTTACCTATGTAATAAGATAAAAAATAGTATTTCAGTGTGGCTTTTTCTTATTTTTTCCAAAATTTTATGTGATTTGTTGTTGAGAACATATACAGCAAAACATACAGCAATTTAAGAGTTTCTCCATTTACGTCTTAGTGACATTTATTATAGTCTTTGAATTATGCAAGCATCCTCACCCTCCTTTTCGAAATTGTTCCTCCCTCATTAACATAAACTTACAGCCCCTTAAGATTCCTTTCTAATCTTTTGAATTGTTGTTATCAGTTTGATCCCATGTAGATAATTCTTAAAAGAGCATAATACTGAAGGCAGACTTTATTCATGAGCTAAGCTAAACTACTCTTCTGTTTCAAGGTAACTTCAGGGGATGTTGGTTTAAGATTTAAAGATTATCCCAGGACAATAATTTCACGGATTTATCTACCTTCCATGGCTCCGGAAAGTCTAGAGTCCATGAGAATTTGAAATTCTTTTCTTATTTTCCCCCTTTTGATCAAGATTTTCAGTGGAATCTTTGATCAAAATGTTCAGTAATGGTAGCCAGGAACCATTGAATTCTGCTGGTCTCATGGCAAAGGAGGCAGTTGTTCATGGAGGCATTTAGTCACACATTCCTTATCCTCCTCCTGTTCCTGACTCTCCTTCCTTTGTTGCCAGGCAAGTAGAGAGCAATTATTGTGCTTTAGATGGCCACTTGCAAGCTTTAAAGACTCCACACACCACGCAACAATAATTGGCTATGCAACCTTATCCTTAATGCAGTTTTTCCATCACTGTTAACCCCTTTTTCCTCTTTCCTATCCTGGTAATCACTTTTAACTTTAGTCTTTACACATTTGCCTTTTCTTCTCTTTCTTTATAAATGAAGTCATATAATATCTGTCCTTTTGTGATTGGCTTATTTCACTTAGCATAATATCTTCAAGCTCCAGCCATGCTGTAAAATGTATTAAGAGTTCATTTCTCCTACTGGCTGAGTAGTAGTCCATTGTATAGTAGTAGTTCATTGTATACACGGAACATCTTTGCTTCATATCTGTGGTTAGATTTATTCCTAGGTATTTTATTCTTTTAGATGCTATTGTAAGTGGAATTTTTTCCTGTAATTTCCCTTTCAGATTTCTCATTGTTGTTTATAGAAATCTAACAGATTTTTGTTTGTTGACCTGGTACCCTGGAACTCTGCTAA